CCACTGTCATCTCCAGCATTGTTAGCCTCAGGTAGATGGGGCCAGGCTTTGGCATGGAGAGTGCTCTGAGGGTTTGTGCTGACAGTGATTTTCCCATTTCCAGAACCAAGACTATTTTTAGAGACAGAGGAGGGGCCAGCCTGTGGCGTGGTGGTTCAGGCCACTGAATCCCACATAGTTGACTGTGCGGTTCAGGTCCTTGACCCAGTGGCTTATAAAACGTGCTAGATGCATGTCCGTGCATACCCAAGATCCAGAAAGGAGAAAAGGAAGAGAAGGGGTTGCGGCATGACCAGCGCTCCCCCTGGGGATGCTTGCTCGCTCGCTCGCTTGCTCGCTCTCTCTCTCTCTCTCTCTCTCTCTCACTCTCTCACTGGCAAGTGCACGCACCCTAGAGCAAGTTTTAAAAATAAATTAATAGCAACAAGGAAAATGTGGGGATATTGGTGCATGTGTAATTGAAAGCCCTCTGCTTTTCTGTGATCTCTCCTGTGGGAAGTTAGATTTCTGTTGCTTCAACAAGTGGGCTGGAGGATACTCTTGAGGTGTTCAGGGCCATTGACAGCACTGTGACAGCTTCTGAAGGGGCTGTGCTCCCCACTTCCTCCCCTCCCCCTTCCCGGCAGAGACTGTTCAGTGGAGGCTTGCGAGACAAACTGGATTTACCAGCGTCAGGACTGGCTGCCCAGCCAGACCCTGTCTCCAGCTGCCGCAGTCACTGTGCTGGATCTCTCTGCCCAGGAGGGTGGAGTGTCTGGGCTCCGCTGTTCACAAAGCGAGCATTGCCCTAACTCTGCACATGAAGGCAGTTCATTATAGATTTTGACCCTTCTGCATCCTCCCTCCCTTACGACATGCACGTTTTCTTCTCGTACCACTGCCGAAAGAATGCAAACTTCGCTCCTCTGTCATCCAAGCGTCATTCAGAAACATTCCTCTGGTCTTTGAATTGTTCCCCGACTTCAATCAGGGCAGTGTTACAGGTCCTCAGCCAGCAAGAGGGAACAGTCTAACAGAATCTGAAGACCCAAGACTTTCAGAAGCTGTGACGAGCAGACTGCAAGCCTCAAAACATTGCGAGCTGAATGGATGTCTCAATAAGCTTGTAGATGTGTTTTGGCCAGCGTCGGCAGAGGAGGCTAAAGGGAGAAGGCAGCGAGCGTTGTAACGTAAATCACTGCAGACCCGCTGGGAGTGACAGCCCGAGGAAGCTCATGATCTCTCCAGGAAAGAACTGACCACAGTTCTCCAGAAACTGAACACGATGTAGACAGGGAGGACAGACCCCAGATGTGAGTACCATCTCTTCCACAGGGTTTGGAGCAGCGGGAGCACAGCTAGTTGTTATAACTGATGGCGTTCCCAGACCACTGGTTCCTGGGTGCCTGCGGGCCTCTGGGTGGGTTGTGTGTAATGCCTGTCTGGGACTTTTGTTTGCATCTCTCTTTTAGAATATTTTGCCTGTGGGAAACTGAATGTAGTAGCTTTGGGAGATTGACACCAGAAGACTTTGTTGTAAATTTTTAAAAAAAAAAAAAGGCAAAAACAAAAAAAGTCAGCCAAAGCAAATCTCACAGACTACAGACCTTTTTCTATAAAAAGAAAACCGATTGCATCACAGACCAAGCAGCTGTGTGACCCTCGGGTGTTTATGATGAGAGACAAAAGAATTGGCAAATTGGCGAGAAATGAAAATGGGGTGGTAGACTGAGGAAAGAGAGAAAGCTAAAGCCCTTTTGGGGCTCAGGGTATTCACTGCATACTTATGCTCATGTATTTATTTCTTTTCTGCTTAAAGAATGGGCGACATGTTTGCATTTAAGATTTCCTCCAGAACACTGAAAATGAGCATTGTGACAAGAAGGGATGTGATTGATAGGTTTGGGATAGAAGAAATTCCTCACAACTAGCAATGGGAAGTGTCCTGAATGAGAGCTGATCTACTTGGAAGAAAAGGCTCAGATTTAATGAGGGAATAGGGCTGCTACCACCAGGGAACCCAACAGGTTGGCAGTGAAGTTTATCTTATTGTCTGCAGAATCACTACCCCTTTCTATCCATTGTCAGGATCCTCCATTTCTTCTTATCCGTGTCCACTAACCCACTGTCTGGCCTGATTTGATCATTCAGAGTGATCAGACAAGAAGCTGAATCTCCTCTTGCTCCAATGGAAGGGGGATTATTGTTCTAGATGGGAGGATTTAAGATCTAGGACGGTGACTGTGAGAGAGGTGAAGTGGTGTTCCCCCTCACCCCCACCACCCCCACAAGGCCAAATGCATAGGAGGAGACAGAAAGGAAAAAGATTTGGCTACTTTGATCCCTTCCCACCCAATGTGTTCTTGTAACTGCAGGTTAATGTGGAGGTCCTAGCAATGAGGCTGTTGATTACTGGGCTTATTTTGAGAATGAACTCAAGAAACTCAAATGCACAGGGATGGTGTGAGCAGTATATCAGGAACTGAAAACCTCAGATTTTGTTCCTGATATTTCAGGCAGTTTTCTGGGGGACTCTGATGAGGAGAGTGTCCAGAATTCCATGTGAGTGGCTACCAGTCCTAGAAGCTTCTCTGTGGGTGGTGCAGGGAGTGTAGGGCAGATCTGGGAGACATTCCTAAATAACTGTAACTGAAAAGCAGAAAAGAAAATGGCATTTTTACTTGGCTAACATTTTCTCATCACTTTAGTATTTTTCTATCTAAAAAAAAAAAAGGAATAGTAACGTGGGTTGGACTTGCAAACAGCTGTTTACCAACAGTAGTGATCAGTGGCTCTAGGTGTACCTGTCGTCTCAGTATCTGAGAGGCTGAATTTGTTGCATGGACAGGAGGTGGGAGGGGAGTGGCTATCAACTTACCACATTGCTGAGGAGGCTGTGCTGGTGTGGAGCTCGTGACCTCAGCTCATGGACCCTACTAAGATTGCAGCAGAGCTCTCCACCTTTGAGAGCTAAACTTCAGCATAGAAGTAGACTTTTAGGCATGAAAGTGATATTTGTATGAGCTGGGGCCGTCAGACTTGAGACATACCCATTGCAAGAACGGTACAGGAATGGAATGTGGAAGGTGAGAGGTTGAGTTGAGTGTAGAGAGATAACAGTGGGCAGATAAGGGAGAAGAATGTGATTGTGGAAGGAGATTAAGGAAGTTGTGGCTAATACTCTGAATGTTCCCGCCGTTTATGCCTAGAGTGATTTTGCATTATTTAGGTAGAATAGAGGCTCAGTATACTCAGTTTGAATGTACCACAGGTTCTGTGAGTAGAAATGGACGATGTACTCTGTGTTTATAAAACAAACAAACAAAAACCACTTCAAAATACAGCAGCAGTCCAAGACCTATAAAGCTCCAAGCTATTACGTTGTCAGGAAAGTCACGATGTATTTTTCTATGCAAAAATGCATCATCACTTTCCCCACAACGCAATATAATCTTCCATTGTGTCTGCAGAACATACCAGAGGCATTTCTAGTTCCATTTCTCAATGTTTTGAGTCTCAATTTTATTTTTTCATTGGCTTATTCAAAAAATATTTCTGGTGCAACCCAGGGATCTCTGACCATCACTGACCAAAGAGTCCTCTGTGTAGGAGCATACCCTTCACTGTATGTATTGGCTTCTAATGAGCATGGGGAGCCGGAGCAGGTAGCTTTGCAAGGGGTCCTCTTGTCTCTATCCTTGCTATTCTTTTTTTTTTTTCTTTTCTTTTCTTTCTTTTTTTTTTTTTTGCTATAGGGCACATGTGGTCGCCAGAAAGACAGAGAGAGACAGAGAGACAGAAAGCGAGAAATCCCCCCCCAGGGGGGATGGCCATGCTGCAGTCCCTTCTCCTTGATTCTCCTCTCGGGATCTTGGGCACGCACGCACACGCGCTCAGTGTGAATGTAGGCCACAGGATCTGAGACTCGAACTCAGGTGAGCTACATGGGAGTTCAGTGACATAGCCATTATGCTAACTGCTGGTCCCTTTCCTTGCTATTCTTTACCCACATTTTGTGCCACAGATGGAGAACAATGAGAAAATTTCGTAATTCACAAGTTTGGGGGACGAGTGAGAATTGGCTTTCTGAAGTAACAATATTCACATTTGGCCAACATTTTTACATCATAAAACACCATCTTTAATCCCTCCCTCAGTCCTCAGGGAAAGATGTTCTTATGCCTGCTCTACATGTGGCATTAAACCGCAGCTTCCGAGAGTGTCTAGCCAAAGGACCTGTCTGAATGCCATGGTGGAGAGTTAGGGCAGGACCCAGTCCAGAATCTTCCCTTGACATATCATGGCCAGATCCTTACTCTTTAGAGATTGAAAGATCATTGTACCTGGAAGCAACTAAAAAGATGTCTTTATCTTCCAGACCTGCAAAATTATATCGTTTTCTAAGATCTGGGTTGAACAGGGTACCTCTATGATATGGCACTTTCTTTCAATTCATGTATATTGGTATTTTTAATTGGTATGTTTTAAAATACAAAGAAGCCAGGACCAGCAGATGGCATAATGATTACATCTCTGGACTCCTGCATAGTAAACCATGGTTCGAGTCCCAGTCCAGGCGACTTAAACTCACACCTGGCTCGTGTGTGGGCATGCCCAGAATCCTGAGAGGAGAATGGAGGAGAAGGTATTGCACTGTGGCCATCCCCCAAGGGGGTGATTTCTTGCTTTTTGTCTCTCTTTCTCTCTTTCTGTTGAGCATGCATACCCTATAGCAAAAATCTCTCTCTCTCTCAAAAAAAAGATATATATATATATATATATACATACACATACATACACACAAAGTATATATATACACAAAGAAGCCCTCACTTCCTCTCCTAGCAGGAGTGGATTAGAACCTTAAACATTTCTACCAAAAGAACTCTTCACGTTTGAAACAATTACTAATAACTATGATTTGGTCTAATGGTGGCCCAGAACTACTGGGAGGACTCTCTTCTATTCATTTTGGCCATTTGTTGGAAAGAAGAGTTTAAATTTCAGTTACTGTGCTCTGGGCCATTTAAATTCTGTTCATTTTGGCCATTTATTGAGAAGAAGAGTTTAAAGTTTATTTTCAGGTACTACCCTCCAGGCCACTGCTCTGAGTCAGGGTTAGTGTCTGATAGGTGGTTTTAGTGGCCATTTATCTTCCATAGTCAACCCCTTCTAAATTGGCAAAGCATGCTCTCTGTGTTTATCATCTATGTTATTCCCAAAGTGGATTGTTTCAGTAGCTGGGAACTGGGCCTATACCCAGATCTCCATCTGTTTCAGAGTTTAAGAAACTGCACTGTTTACAGTGAGAAAAGAAAGAGAACTTACAGTAAATGCTGGAAGAAAACTCCAAGGAGAGAACCCACTTGTCTGGGTCTGTGTAGGGTACAGCCCAGAGGTATCAGCATGTTAGCTGTGGTCAGCCTATAAAGCACGACCCACAGAACATGTGGCTGTGTAAGCTAGGTGGCATTTGAGGGATTATATCAGGCTTACGCTACCAGGACAGCAATGCAGAGTAAACCTTGCAGCTCTGGCCATACTCCTGGAGAATGTCCCTGAGGAGGAAAGGGAGGAGGAAAGGGATGGAGAAGATGGCACCTCCTGCCGCCTTCCACTTGGAAGTTCAGTTCAGGGGCTTTGTGCAGAGGCTGTGCTTCCTGCATGTCCTCCCTCCCCAGCCTCCCTCCCCTACAATGTGCAACCAGCAGAATGCCGTAAGTCCCAGAGAAGAGGTGTGGCAGGTCCGTGTGTGAGATGTGGCACTGACGGCAGCTTTTGTTTTTGTAATCCATAGGTCCCGAAGATGGCATAGTAACAAAGGCACCTTCCAGTGGTTGCAAGCATCTTTACCCGTGGATGCCAGCCCAGGCCAGTGACTTCCTGTTGAGCTGAAGGAACTCGTCTACTGCTTCCCGAAGTCTTTCTCTCCTAATTCATGAGCCAGCAGGATGCGGTCGCTGCACTTTCAGAACGTCTTCTCATAGCTGCGTACAAAGGCCAAGCAGAGAATGTGGTTCAGCTCATCAACAAGGGCGCCAAGGTAGCGGTTACCAAGGTAACAGCAGAAAAAAAATTTTGCTGTAGCCATTCCCTGGGAACTAGCCTTCCTCTTAACCATTGTCCACAAAACTGTTGTGTTTGGTTCACAGCCTTCAAAGAACTGGCCTTTCTTCCAATGAGGGAGGTTTGGGGAGAAAGAAGGATTAAGAATGTTTTTCATTGCCATCTTTCAAATGGAGTGACTTATAATTAGCATTTGACAGTCTTTAAAATCAGGTCGTGGCTTTTCTCACCTATTTCTTTAGCCAAGTGGACAGGAAATCTCTTGGGAGAGGTTTGGACACAAAAGCTCATTGGGTAGAGAATTAGTGATAATTATGTTAGATCTTCTGGGGGGGTTGGACCAGCTTGTGGTTAGGGAGTCCCTCCACATGTCCCCATCGTACAGTGGCAGCCAGGACCAGAGGACCACCACAACCTCTGTGGGCTTTGGTCTCACATAGTTTACATCGCTGGCTCTGGAGGATATTGCTTACCTCTCACCAACAAATAGGGGTAGATGAGAGACCTCACCGGGCAATTTGGGACCTACGCTGAGAAAATGCAAGCTCCACATAGATGACAAGTTTTAATACATCGACAAGGTAACACCAATGGCAGACAGTTATCTAGTGTTGCTCCAGGCCCTTTGTAGCCCAAGTGCTTTGTAGCTCTCTAGAGGGGTGCTCTGTTCATTCCCACTTTGGAGATTGGGAAAGTGACTTACATGACTTGCCTAGGTTCCCTTAGAATGGCAGAAACTGAGTCTTGCTCCTAAGCCCACCCTCTTTCAGACCACCCCAGAGAGAGCTGTGGAAAGGGAAAATGTTTAATTTTCAAATAGTAAGGGAACCTATTACATTAACTTCTTTTTTTTTTTTTTTAATTTTGAAGAGAGATTTTTGCTATAGGGTGCATGTGCTCACTGCAGAGACAGACAGAAAGTGAAAAATCACCCCCCCAAGAGGGATGGCTATGCCATAATCCCTTCTCCTCCATTCTCCTCTTAGGATTTTGGGTATGTACACACACACGCCCAGCATAAATTTGAAGCCTCTAGATCCGGGACTCAAACCACAGTTGGCCATGTGGGAGTCCAGCAATGTAACCATTACACCATCTGCTGGTCCCTAAACTATTATGTTAACTTCTAACCTCCTGTGGCAAAGACTGGTCAGCTCACATTTTCAGTTACTCATATGCAGTTTCTCTCTATTCTTTGTTGGTCTCTAGAGAGAAAATTTTGAGTGAGTTGTAAATCATCCGAGGATCCTAAGCAGTCCATACATAAATGGTGACTAGCTTGTGTGGACCCGAGTAGGAGGGAGCTTTAACTCAGGCCCTGTGTGATCCACTGTGCTTCAGGGCCCAGCACTCACAAATGGGAGGGAGAACTTGAACTCTGTAGCCAGGACACATGAGCAGAGTGAGGAGAAGGGATTGCAGTATGGCCATCCCCTCTGGGGGATAATTTCTCACTTTCCCTCTCACTGTCTCTGTCTGTCTCTCTCTCCTCAGTGAGTGCATGAGCCCTCAGGCCAAAAAACAACAACAACAAAAACCCCTCTATTTGAAAAGAAGAAAAACTTATAGTACATGTTTTTTTTAAAAGAATTATTTTATTTAATTAATTATCTTTAATTTGACAAGACAGGGGCAGAGTGATTGAGAGAGAGAGAAAGAAAGCAAGAAAGCAAGCCACCAGGTCTGGGAGTTGAACTGCAGTCAGCCATGTAGGAGTCCAGCATCCTTAACCACCATGCTACCTGCCAGCCCCATAGTGCATGTTTTAAGAGAAAGTCTCACTGCAAACTCTGATTTTCCAGTTGCACAATTTTCATACCTAGACTAACTATATTTCATTGTATTGACCAACACATTTTCCATTCAAACAGGTAATTTGAAAAAAGCACGGGTATCCTGAGAAGTCTGACATATCCTTGGAGTGAATTTTCTGAATATTAGAAATAGTAACTTAGGAATGCCATAATTTGACTCCTGCCTCCTTACTTTTCTATTTGTTCTCACAAGACAGAAAAAAAATAGGGTTGGCCCTCATGGAGCTGGTATTTTGTTAGGAATACAGACTAGAATTTGACAGCAGAGAGCCCTACTGTGCCTGAGCTCCCCTTGGCTCCTCTAGGCTCTGCCTCTAAGATGCTTTCTCCATCTCCTTTTGTTCTTCTTGCTCCTACAGCTGGCATTCCGTAGGGCCCTCAGCCCTCATCTGCCCTCACTCTGCATACCACCTTGACTTTGCCAGCTCTAGGTGGTCACTGTGGCTCCCTCTCCAGCTCAGCTCTGCTTCCTGACCTCCCCCCCCCCGCCCCCGTCCAGCTGCCTTCATGTGCATCTTTCTGTGCATGATCCACAGGCACTGTAATTCTAAATGAACCTGCATGCCCCTTCCTTAAACCTGGTCCTCTTCCAATGGTCTCCTAATTAATGGATGGCACTGCCATTTGTGCAGTCCCTCAAGCAGAAGCCCAAAGCCATTCTTTCTTCTTTTAGATCTTTGATATCCCTCCACTTACACATACACTCAGTGACCCAGTGCAGCATCCTCTACTCTTCCATCTGTTCTGAGTCTTTCTATTGGGTCATCAGAAAAGTCATAATATATTTGTTCTGTGCAAAAATGCATCATGACTTTTCCAACAACCCAGTGGTTGACATTACTTGAGATATTTGATACTGAAACAGGTAATTTTTTTTTTTTGCAAGAAAGATTTTGGTCTTGTAAGTAAATATAACCTATGTTTTAATTAAATATCTTCACATGTAGTTTAATTTTGTTACCTTAACCCCAGGAGGTATTTGGTTTCTTTTTTTTTTTTTTTTTTGATAACTGTTACATTGCTCCTTAATGCCAAGCATTGACCATATGTTAGCATCAAAGAATCTTCAGGTAGGGGATCTCGTTATAGATTGTTAGGAAGTTGGTCCTGGGAATGGTTCACTACAGTTTTTATTTTCTCCAAAACTAACCAGACAAAGGTTACTTGATACTTCATGGGTTAAGAGGAAAAATGTAGTTTCATTCATAAAATTGATGTTTCCAGATCTCCATCTGCTATTTACCACTATTCTTGAGTAACCAAATAGGGATTCAGATGATTAAGATGTACAAACCATTGGGACCAGCAGTTGGCATGTCTATGTTGCTGGACTCCCATGTGGTCGACCGCGATTTGAGTCCTAGACCCAGTGGCTTGACTCACATTGGGTGCATGTGCGTGCATGCCCAGGATCCCGAGAGGAGAATGGAGGAGAGGGGATTGCAGTGTGGCCATTCCTCCGGGAGGTAATTTCTCACTTTTTGTTTCTCTGTCTCTCTCTGTCTTTCTGGCCAGTGCACATGCCCTATAGTGAAAACTTCTCCCCCCAAAAAAAGATGTACAAATAATTAAACCAGTAGGTGCCATAGTGGTTAAGGTGCTGGACTCCGGTATAGTTGACCGCAATTTGAGTCCCAGACCTGGCAGCTTGAAAATCATGCCAGGTGTGTGTGTGTGTGTGTGTATGTGTCCAGATTCTCTGGGGAAGAATAGAGGAGAAGGAATTGTAGCATGGCTATCCTCTTTGGAGGGACGATTTCTCATTTTCCCTCTTACTTTCCCTGTCTCTCTAGCAAGCACACATACCCTATGGCAAAAACCTTTAAAAAAAAAAAAGTACAAACCATGGTGTCAAGGAACTTGTTCATAGAGATGAGCACCCCAGAATTCCCTGCAGCATGGGTAGGCAGACAAGTCAGGAGGGTAGCAATAGGAGAACAGGTGATTGGGGATCAGTCAAGGTGTGCATTAGGGCTTCTGTGCCTGGTGAAGGGTATCTTAAAACAAGCTCCATGGTGCACTGTTTTGTCTTTTCATTTTAATACATGGAGGTGACACAAAATTCAAATGATATAGAAAGGAATAAAGAGTACGAGGTGGGGTGGGCACACAACATGGAGGTGTAGGCAGTGCCAGCCCTGTGGTCAGCTGCTGGGTTTGGATTCTTCTAGTAACAGTGGAGTGACCTCTGCACATCTGTAGGCTGGGGGAAATACCAGTATACTGCATACCCTGTAGAGTTGGGAGGGGCTCAAGGAACCAGCACATGAAAAGGCTTTAGAATAAGCATTCATTTGCCTTTTTCTTTCTTTGTCTAAATATAAGCTTCTCATCCTAAATCTTGCTCCCAGCAACAAGAAATACTTTTGGGTGTCTTTCCAGAAATATTTATGCATGTAAAAGAAGATCAAAACCATTTAAAAAACATAAGTAGGCTCATATTATACATAATAATCCTTCTTTCACTTTATAGCATACCTAAGAGATTTGACATTTCACTGAGTATAGGTCTAATTACCTTCATCACCCCTATAATCTCTCTGTGCAGGTAAACTGTAAATATTTTATTCATTTACTGATGGCAGCATTTAGCTTGTTCATAGGTTTTGTATTGTTTGCTATTACAGACAATGGTGCAATGGGTTTAGTATACATGTCTTCCAGATTTGTGAGACTATCTCTATTAGCTAAATTCCTGAGGGAAAATGTTAATGATTCCCCCACAAAAAGATATTATTTAGCCACAATAATTTATCTCTCCTCTAGAAGGTATTATTTAGCCACAATAATTTATCTCTCCTCTAGAACAGCTTTTGGCAATGAAGTTCAATGGACCCTGGGGGAAGAGCCAGGGTTTGGATAGGAGGCAGTATCAGTTTCCTGTGGCTTCTATAACATACTGCTACAGACTGAGCGACTGAAATAACAGAAATGTGTTGTCTCTCAATTCCGGGGGTTAAAAGTTGGGTATCAAGGTATTGGCTGGGCAGTGCTCTGACTGAAACCTGTAAGGATGAACTCTTCCTTGCCTCTCTTTCGTTTCTGGTAGAATGCCTGTAGTCTGTGGTGTTCTTTGGCTTCCAGCTGTAGCACTCTAATCTCTGGCTCATCTTCACTTGGTTTTCTTCCAATTTGTCTCTGTTTCTTCTCGTCTTACAAGGTTACCATTCATATTGGA